GCCAAAGAATTGGATCTTTCGTCCCACTTCATCGAGAGCTTCTATTTGAACACCGTTGTTTTGGTTCACACATGTACTATCCTGTGCGTGGGTATAGTATGTGTACCCATTGATCTCGTAAGCTTTCCAAGATGTCACTTGTCTCGATGGCCCCGCTGCCAACCTACTGATGGTAACATCATCTGTGGTTTCTCCAGTCGGAATGTTTTGGTCCTTCAACCATGTAGTTAATCGTTACTTATCTTTGTTTCATAACCCACTCATCTCATCGACCATTTCTTTTCGTCACTAATGATAGCCAAGTGTTCATCAATGTATTGTTGCATCAGTTCTATACTCTGGACGATACTGCAATGCGCCCGACTCACTTCTTTGTAATCATGGTCGATGAACACTTTTATCCCATTGGTGCCCTTCCTAGCCATCCTACCCTTGTGACGAGAAGCAGGTTTAATAATCCCTCTCTGTACTTTTAGGTACTCTTGACAGCACTCGACAACTTCTTTAATACTATAACCCTCTATCATGGAGTCCTCTGGGTATGCTCGATTATGCACGTATCGGCTTAGAACTGACATGAACCACTGGTAGGACCACATTTTATGCAAGTAACAAGGGCCTAGGGCCTCTATCTGATGAATCATGTGAATCATGAGATGTGGCATTATATAAAAAAAAGCGGGAGGTATACATATCTCTAGTTGGTTTTGGGTCTCCACCACAAAATTATGTAGGTCACTCAGCTCTTTCTTGCCAATCGTCTTCTGTGAGATCTTCGAAAAGAAGTAGCACATGCGGGTGATGGCCATTTTCAAGAACTTTGGCTTTATAGCTCTGATTACAATGGGTAGGAACACTGTCAGCATCACATGACAATCGTGAGCCTCACAGTTTTTTATTGACAAGTCCTTCATCGAAACTAGCCTCTTCACATTCCATGAAAATCCAGTCGAAACTTTGACCCCCCTAAGGAAAGTGCATATCGTCCTCCTCTCTTCTGGGGTCAGGTTGAAGCTAGCCGCGGGCAGAGTGTATTTCCATTACCCTAAGGTACCGGGTGAAGCTCTTCCTTCACATTTTGCTGCACCATGTCTTTCCATGATTTCAGACCATCCTTTGTCTTGTCTGTGTCCATCAAGGTAGCAATAAGACTCTCAAAGACATTCTTCTACACGTGCATAGCATCAATGGCACGTGGGACCTCCAAGTTCGGCCAATAAGACAGATACTAAAAGAAGATTGATTATTTCTTGAAAGGTACGTTGGCGATAGGAGGTGTGCTTCTATGTTTTTTTGTTCTATCCGGATTCTTCTTTCCGAGGATGACACATATGTTTTTCACCATTTCGAACAAGTGTTGCTCGTTTTGATGACTCTCTAGAGGGGGTTCATTCTCTGGGTGTTGTCATAATATCTGAAGTACATCTCGCTGTGGTATGTGTGATTTGTCTTTAAGAAACACCGGTACCTTAGGTAAACTATCTTCTTGGATGCATCCAGGTACACCCATGTAGTACCATCCAAGCAGACTAAACATTTTGTCTTCCCTTTGATCTGTCTAGACAAAGGAAACAACGCAGGGTAATCATTGGTAGTAACAAAGATCATGGCTCTACATATGAAGTCCTCCTTTCGGAACGCAGTACATCGGCTCCGCATGCCTCCATAGCCTCTCCATTTCTTGCATCAAAGGCTCGAGGAACACATCTATATCAATGCCTGCTTGTTTCGGACCCAAAATGAGAATAGTGAGGAGAAGGTACTTTCTCTTCTCACATAGCCACGTTGGGATGTTGTACATGGTCAAGATCACTAGCCATGCGCTATGGTCGCTGGTCCTCTCATTGAAGGGATTCATTCCATCGGTGCTCAAGCCAAATTATACATTCCTTGGGTCAACGCTGATTCTTTGTGCTTGTCATCGAAGCTTTGCCACTGAGTACCATCGGCTGGGTGTGCAATCACATCATCAACCAGCTTGCGCTCATCATCCCAACATGTCATGAGTTTGGCTTCCTTAGGGTTTAGGAACATACGTCTCAAGCGGTCGACCACTAGCAGGTACCACATTACTAAGATAGGAATTCTTCTCTACTTTGCATCGTTGCCTAATGGAGTGTCCTCTAGGGCTTGAGAATCTTGTACCACCTTTTTCCTGCCCTTATTTCTCTTGTTCTTCGTGGAGGATTCATCCCCGTCGTAAAGGTCATTGTTCTTGTACCAACTGGCCCCACACCTAGGACATTTATCTAGTGACTTGAACGTGTCGCAACAAAAAAGATATAGTGGTTGGGGCATGCATGGATTTTTTCAACCCCCATTGTCAATGGACTTATTACCTTCTTCGCTTGGTATGTCTTGTCGAGAACTGAGTTTGGTCGTGGCAGCAACCATGACAGAAGACGCAATAGATCATTGAAACTACAGTCTGACCAGCCATACTTAGCCTTCAGAATGAGTAGCTCAAGCATAAAATGTAGCACTGTCTAGTGTGTCAGACAACCATTTTCAACACCATACATAGACTCCTTCGATGCTTTTTTCACCCTTTCCAAATTTTCTAGACCTTTCGGGCTCTTTAGTAAAATCTTTGGTCCAATGACCCGAATTATTTCCTCCAAATCATCATAATCATCTTCATCCCCGACACGTGCTCCGTCATCATTATTGACACCACTTTCGTCATTACCATCCCAACCACCAGCATCACCAGCTTGTTCATTGCCATACTCGGGATCCATTCGTGCATCAAGCTCTGCTGAATATTGGAACAAGGATTCTAGGGTTTCGGCGTCATGTTCCTCCTCATCGTCATCGTTAACAACAACCGTTCACCATGATGAATCCACGTTGTGTAGTTCTTGACAAATCATCTTATAATCAAATGTGATCTGATGATAGTCGCATCTGTCCATACGATAAGGTTCATGCAATCTTTACAGGGACAAATAATTGTATCCTTATTTTCTGTCAATGTCATTGCATGCTTCTCTGTGGCTTCAATAAATTTATCCACCTCTTCACGAAAACCTGCCTTGAACCTTAACGAACCATACATCCAAGAGTTCCTGTACTCCATCTTTTACAACAACAATCAAAGAAAATACATTAAAGGACTACTTATATATATATATATATATATAAAGAAATCAAATTAATAATTACTTAAGAATAATTGTATATGCTTCAGATATATATAAATGTAAATCAAATATAATTACATAAAGCATATCGAACACACCATGGTAGAGCATAATTAATTAATGACCTATTTATCTATAAATAATTAAAAATATATATTTGTTGATTACAACAAACAATTTCAAAGACAACAATTAGCAACAATTAATATTTTACCCACTATCTTTCATGCAAACCCTAGTCCAATTTCATCAAATATAAATTTACAAAAATGAAATTAATAAAAAAAACAAAACCCTAGATCTAGATCTAGATGCACATGAAACATCTATAAAACTAACTAATTGTTCACTAAAATCAAGAAACATCAACTAAATAAGGGTATGATCTTATTTCTCTACCTAATTTATCCTAGTACATTCAAAACTTCGGTCTAATTTGCTTCATAAGTAGCTCAAGCACCATAGAAGAGAGAGAAAAACAAAACTCTAATTACTCACTAACCAACCATTACAACTTTTAAAAAAAGTTTGGAATAACATTTTCTTACCTTTTACAACCTTAGTAGAGTAATTCGAGACCAAAACCTTCCCCTTAGTAGAGTAATTTTTGTGAGGTGCCCAAGGCCTCCTAAGCCTTTTTTTTCTTGTAAGAGACCCGAGGAAGAAGAAGGGGGCAACAACCATTTATACGTGGAGCATTTGTAGGGGCGGCTGGTGATTGAGCCGCCCGTAAAAATCGCAATAGTAAGGGCAGATGGTCATAGCCGTCTCTACAAATCGACCTATTTATAGGAGCGGCTCGTATCGCCAGTCGCCCCTGCTGTGCTATTTGTAGGAGCGGCTGGTCTCGTGGGTCCCGAGCACACCCACTGTAGGGGCGGCTCCATCACCGGCCGCCCTAAAAAAAATTGAGCCGTTGCTACAAACATTTTCTGTGTGATGAAAACTCTCACAGAGACTGAATACATAATAGAGATCATGATAATCCAACTATGATCCAAATAGGGCCTTAATTGTTAGAAAGTGTCATGTTCCATCCATGATTGAGCAGATTAGATAATGCAACTAAGTACGATCCCACTTATGCTTCGCTGCCTACAGTAGTACTATATATCAATCAAGTAGCAGTTGCAACCATTTGTAGGAACTGTACATCATGCAGTTGAGAAGCGTATGAGCTGTTTCATGGTAGGGTTTAGCTCATGTTGGTCACATAAACAACTGAAATGTTATTCCACCGTACAAGAGAAAACACATGGAATACCTACAACATCCAAATTAAAAATATTCCACCAGTTTATATGTTGAACGCCTGAACATACTTGCATTTGCCTGCAATTCTTTTGCTCTTTTTGCGGGCCAAGCACTTTGAGTGCACATGCGTTTGCACCCTTACCCCTATCAGAAACTAAATTAAGAGCTAAAATTGCGCAAATTAAGAGCTAAATTAGAATCTTGTCGCATTGAGTAATTGCGACCCAGCACCCAACCACTAAATTAAGATCTAAAATATCGCAAATCCTGTCATTTTCCTATTGCAAGTTGCACGCTGTTGACTCCATCTGGTCTTCCCCTAATTTCTTTTGCCCAAATCTAATTCAAAGACTTGGTATGCTAGCTACTTATTGGATGAGCTGGGACGACATGTTCATTTAATTCATACATGTAGGGTAGGAGATGATGAACTATATGGATCGATATCTTGACCAGTTCAATGAATATACAAATTGAAGCCTCATTTCCTATCTTACACACCAACTAATACGACCTACTGCAGTTCTGCCAGAGCTTCTGACCTCGAAGAAGAAGATGAGCAGCTAAGAGCAATTCGGCGACATCTCAAGAAGCTCTCCAAAGATGGAGCTTTCTCCATGGCTTGTGTTCTCGTTCGGTTTTCTTGCGCAGGCTCTTGTCATCTTGGCTGACACGAATACACAAGATAGTATGTTTCAGTTTCTTCCTTCTGTCCTTGTCGTTGCAGTGCTCATTTGCTCATTCTGTTGCTCTTCTGTGCAGCTGCTGGACTCAACGGGATTAAAGATTCCTGGAACAAGCTGCCATCCAACTGGATGGGGACTGACCCATGTGGAGATAAATGGATTGGGATAACCTGCACGGGAAACCGGGTCACGGGCATGTTAGTATCAGCAGCTAAGAGAGATCACATATGGTCCTTTCCTTCTAGTTATCCATTTTATAGATGAACAATTCATCACTCACTCAGTTGTTGTTGTTTCATGGTGGCTGTTTTTGCAGAAGACTCTCAAGTTTCGGATTGTCAGGGTCCCTTTCAGGCGACATCCAGTCTCTGTCCGAATTGCAGACCTTGTATGAAATTTCTTGCCCTTTAAATTTTAGTTTTTTTTAGTACTTGAGCATCCCAAACAAGCACATAAATTGGAATTTTAGCATGGTTGCAAGCATGTGAGCCTGTGAGGTGATTGCCACCTATTTTTTGGCAGGGACTTCTCCTACAACAAGGACTTGGGTGGTCCTCTTCCTGCAACCATTGGAAGTTTGAGTAACCTCGAAAACCTGTGGGTAGTTTGTCCGAATTGCTCACTGATTTCAAGATTTCAATGCATGAATTGTTCTTTGACTTATTTGCTCTCCGACTCCTTTGCAGAATTCTTGTTGGTTGCAGCTTTTCTGGAGAAATACCGAAAGAATTAGGACAGCTCTCCAAGCTTATATTTTTGTAAGGAGATCAAACCTGATACCTTATGTCTATGACTTTGATCTTTTAGCTACCATAAACAAGGATATATTTGTGGGATTGTATCTTCTGTTCAACAAAAAGCTTTTGCCTATATATCTATCCAACTGTCACTTGGGGATCAACTTTAGTTTGTCTTCTACCAACTCGTTCTAAATGTTACTTTGTTCATTTCAAACATACAAAATTACTGGATTCTCTAGAAGTGACTGCAAACAAATGTCCATTCGATGATAGAAATGGAATTGCCATCATAATGTCGTATTACTTTTCAACTGAGCAAATCCTCAACCTTTAGCTCTGTTGTGTGTTCATCTAACCAGTATTGGACCTGATTGCTGATCCTCACAGCATTTATGCATTTAGGTTCAGTATAATATGATTTTTTTTCCTTCACTGCCACTATGATGGGAAAAAAAAGAAAGATTGGTCATTGTATGCCATGCCTGCAGATCTATGAACTCAAACAAGTTCAGTGGTTCCATTCCGGCATCACTCGGAAGACTCTCGAAGCTATACTGGTTTGATCTGGCTGACAATAAGCTCTCTGGAGGACTTCCAGTATTCGATGGCACAAATCCCGGGCTGGATAATCTGACAAATACAAAGCACTTGTATGTACAATTCCGATCCCCAGAATTAAATTCCTTGATATTGGGATAGTTTTGAGTCCCCTGATCGAGTTGTGGTTTCATGACCATTTCTTCGCAGCCACTTCGGGATCAATGAGCTCTCAGGAACCATACCGAGCCAGATTTTCAACTCACATATGAAGCTGATACATCTGTAAGTAAGGAAACCCAAATTGTCGACTCATAATTACTTGCTTATTTATGTTGTGAAGCTCAGACAGTGGATGGCTTGTATTATGTATCCAGGCTTCTTGACAACAACAACTTTACTGGAAGCATTCCTCCTACTTTGGGCCTTCTTAATACACTAGAAGTCCTGTAAGTACATCACCTACATGTCATGACTTAGAAGAGAAAATCTAGAGATTTTTCACTAGCAAGTAGGAGTACTTCTGACCGTGACATGTATGGACTTGTTCTGATGGTGAGATAATTATGTCGGCACAGACGTTTTGATAACAACTACCAGTTGACTGGGCCAGTTCCTAGCAACATCAACAACCTCACAAAACTTGCAGAGCTGTGAGTCTGTTACTCTGGTTTTTTTTTCACTTGTTGGTCTGCTGTATCAGTTGTACAATAGTACTAGGAAGCTATAACCATTTATCCTCTCTGGCTCTTTTCTGTTCACACTAGCCACCTAGAAAACAACCAGCTGACTGGTCCACTACCAGACCTCACAGGAATGAGTGCACTCAGTTTTGTGTAAGTGACTCTTGCTCAAGTTTCTCCTTTTCTTGAGTCATAAAAGAATTTTAAGTATCCAACTTCTGAATGTTCTTCCTTTCTTACAGGGACATGAGCAACAACAGCTTCAATGCATCTGATGTTCCTTCCTGGTTCACCACTCTGCCATCATTGACCTCATTGTAAGTAACCTCTCTCTACACTCCTTCCTTGTCCTACTCAAGTCCAGAACTTGTGTCTGAATGTTTCTCGGTTTCAGGTACCTTGAAAACTTGCGTGTTACAGGGCAGCTGCCGCAAGACCTCTTCAGCCTTCCTGCAGTTCAGACACTGTGAGTGCTTGCTTCTCCACAAGTTTATACTAGCACTCTATGCACAAACTGCTCATGTCAAGGAAAATATAGGGATACAAACGATCAATCATAGAGTTGAGTTCATGCTTCAAGTTCAGTTCTTGATGGTTGGGTACTTCCTGACAATCGCAGGAGGCTCCGGGGCAACCGTTTTAACGGCACGCTAACTATTGGATCAGACTACAGCACTCAGCTCCAACTGATCGATCTGCGAGACAACCAAATAAGCCAGATAACTGTCAGTGGATCACAGTACAACAAACAGCTCATGTGCGTAGGAACTGAACATTTTGCTCTAATTTTGTGAGGCAACAAACTTGCAGTGCACTGATGGCTGTTGATTCATTCATTCCTCACAAGTCACAAACATCTACTGTCTTTTGCGCACGCAGACTAGTCGGGAATCCCATCTGCAGCGCGGGGAGCAACGAGAAATACTGCACACCGCCGGGGCAATCCAACCAGGCGACGCCGCCGCCGTACAGCACTCCGAAGAACTGCTCGGGGCTGCCACCGCCATGCCTGTCAGACCAGCTCCTGAGCCCAAGCTGCGTCTGCGCCGTGCCCTACAGGGGCACCTTGTTCTTCAGGTCGCCGTCGTTCTCCGACCTGAGCAACGGGTCGTACTGGGGCCAGCTGGAGAGCGGCATCAAGGCCAAGTTCCTGAGCTTCAGCCTCCCCGTGGACTCGGTCGCCCTCCATGACCCGTCGGTGAACTCGGTGAACAACTTGCAGATGGCGCTGGAGGTGTTCCCGAGCGGCAAGACCCAGTTTGGTGAGCAGGATATCTCTGACATTGGGTTCATACTCAGCAACCAGACGTATAAGCCACCCCCTGTTTTCGGCCCCTACTATTTCATTGGGCAGCAGTACAGTTTTGGCAATGGTAAGACGAACAGGAAAAATGTACACTTCAGAAGTTCAGATTGCACATCATGCTATATATGTGACTGTTTTTTCATGAACGTAGAGCTGCTGATACCATCCAAATCGAAAGCGAACAACTTACCTCTTATCGTCGGAGTCTCGGCCGGTGGAGCAGTTCTTGTGGCAGGAGTTCTTGCGCTTGTCATCTTCGTCGCAAGGAGGAAGAGGAGACCAAAGCAGAACGAAGAGAGGAGCCAGTCTTTTGGTTTGTACAGTTTCTCTGTTGTGCTTGTTAGTTGTTACCGACGGAGGTATAACCATCTCTGCTGCTGCTGCAGTTTCTTGGGACATGAAGAGCACGAGCGGCAGTAGCGTGATCCCGCAGCTGCGAGGTGCGCGGATGTTCAACTTCGACGAGCTTCGGAAGATCACCAACAACTTCTCGGAGGCGAATGACATCGGCAACGGCGGGTACGGGAAGGTGTACAGGGGGACGCTGCCGAGCGGGCAGCTGGTGGCGGTGAAGAGGTCGCAGCAGGGTTCCCTGCAGGGGAGCCTGGAGTTCCGGACGGAGATCGAGCTGCTCTCCCGTGTCCACCACAAGAACGTGGTCAGCCTCGTGGGGTTCTGCCTGGACCAGGCGGAGCAGATCCTCATCTACGAGTACGTCCCCAACGGCACGCTCAAGGAGAGCCTCACGGGCAAGTCCGGCGTGCGCCTCGACTGGCGCCGCCGCCTCCGCGTCGTGCTCGGCGCGCCGCCAAGGCGTCGCCTACCTCCACGAGCTCGCCGACCCGCCCATCGTGCACCGCGACATCAAGTCCAGCAACGTCCTCCTCGACGAGCGCCTCAACGCCAAGGTCTCCGACTTTGGCCTCTCCAAGCCCCTCGGAGATGACGGCAGGGGACAGGACACCACGCAAGTCAAGGGCACCATGGGCTACCTTGATCCTGAGTACTACATGACGCAGCGGCTGACGGAGAAGAGCGACGTGTACAGCTTCGGCGTGCTCATGCTGGAGGTGGCCACGGCGAGGAAGCCGCTGGAGCGCGGCCGGTACATCGTCAGGGAGATGAAGGCGGCGCTGGACCGGACCAAGGACCTGTACGGCCTGCACGACCTGCTGGACCCGGCGCTGGGCGCGGCGCCGTCCGCGCTGGCGGGGCTGGAGCAGTACGTGGACCTGGCGCTGCGCTGCGTCGAGGAGGCCGGCGCCGACCGGCCCTCCATGGGCGAGGTGGTCAGCGAGATCGAGCGGGTGCTCAAGATGGCCGGCGGCCCGGGGCCCGATTCCGCGTCCAACTCCATGAGCTACGCCAGCCGGACGCCGCGCCACCCCTACGGCGGTGATAGCCCCTTCGCCGACTACAGCAGTGGCGGGTTGCCGTCCGCCAGGGTGGAGCCCAAGTGAATCTACAGCAAGCACGCGCCGCGAGAACATGGGCGGAAAAGATGCACTCTTCTTCAACAAAAGCTAGCTGTTGAACTGAATGTACAGGATACTATACTGTACTTATATTAGTGTAAATTTTGGTTACTATGAACTTAAGAGATAGGTGTGCGATTGGATTAAGAACTGATTTCTCGGATAACGGGATTGTTTACATGATAATTTTAGTTGCTATATATAAACTTAAGATAGGTGTGCAATTGGATTGTGTTGACATCTCCTAATATATTTCAGGTTTGTTTTAAAGCCAAAAAAAAGTCAACTTGTCCTGTTTAATTGCACCGGTGAACACCACGGCCCTAACTACACGAACAGTGTTTTTCTTTCATAATAAATCAGTATAAGCCAAATTTCATCGAAACTAACAGGGCCCACATTTCTATGAGCATGTGTTTTCTCCTCATGAGATGGTGGTATAGTATTATTATATGCAAAACGATGTTTTTTTACAACAATATGCAAAACGATGTTGTCACGACTCACAAGTTATACCGGAGGAGTTTCTTCGGTTAGCCAGGATTCCACCCATGAATCATTCCAGCTCATCAAAGGTTATACAAATTAGATAAATAATCTGGGTAGGAATCGTTCTAGGTCACGGTTACGTGGAACTGAACATGCCCTTAATTTTATCTGTTTGAACCGTTGTTGATGAATAGTTTTTCTTCTCTGACTACAAACTAGATATCGTACAACCTGACTCTCAAAACTGGTTAAATTACCTCACCGTTGGTTTGGAAGTGCTTTTCAAGATAGTTTCCTCATTTTATAGTAAAAATAAATCAGATAAATACCCCATAACGTTTTAAACCATGAGAAATGTCTCTAAGCTTCTAAAAATCTTGAGAAAATTCTAGGACAATTTGGGACACGAAAACCCAAATAAAATATCTCGACCTTGTTCAATATCTCTAGAAGCTTCCAAGAATTAGATTTATCTCAAAGAAGATGCTAAAATATCCTGAAATTTTTTGAAAATTTCCAAAACGTTCTAACTGATGTCCAAATGCATTTAAAAAAAATGTCCATAACAAATGAGATGCATCCAGCAACATTAAAGATACATATAATGTTGAATGCATTTATGCTATGCTTTCATGTTAATTGCATCTCATGTTTTTGTTGTGGAAAGTTTTCAAACATCCTCGTTGCATCTGCTATTTTTGTTACAAAAAAATTCAAAACATATGTCCCTTTTTCTTGCGATTTTCATACTTCTAGAGCCAATTCTAATTTTTGAAAGCCTTCAGATATACTTTCATGAGCTCTAAATACCTTATTTGGGTTTGTTATGTCCCAGTCTATCATTAGTATTTTTCTTGAAATTCTTAGAAGTTTAGAAACATTTTTCATGGTTTAAAAATTTTATCAAGTATTTACTTCATTTTTAACTACTCCCTCCATCCAGAAATACAAGGTATCGCAGGTTTAAATTTTGTCCTAAATTACAAGGTATTCTAAATTACTCAACCCAATCCATATATGCCTGCCTTCTAAACTTGTATGCCTTTTGAACACCATCTTTCCCAAAATGGTGCCTATATTTGGTAATCAAAATTAATGGCAGGCATGCATATGTCTTTTTAAACTATACCTTACTAGGAAACTAAACAAGTTGAGAGCAAAACTAACTAATTGGAGATGGGCAATTTAGTCTTTGATCGGAGTCTTTATTTGGTCTTAAAATCGCTTGGATACCTTAGCTTTTATGACAAATGGAGTATAAAAATTGATGAAATTGCCTTCAAAAACATTTCAAACCTGGCAGGAAGGTAACTTAAATACTTTTGAGAGTTGAAGATTGAGATGTCCAGTTTTAAAGTTTGATGATGTAAGGTTGAGATGACCGACTAGAGGGTATGAACAGTTGTTTCTAAACCTAGTCTCTGACTAAGCAGCCGATGAGACTAATTGTATACCAACACTACACCAATAATAACACAAACGCCTTTGTAAGATCCTACACAAGGTATATATATCTAACGTGCCGAGCTAAGTGAGAGCTCACCTACACAAGTCTAGTAATAAGCAAGGTCACACAAACCTATGCAACTATACTCAAACATGCAACTAGGAGCTCCTGCACATACTAGTGAGCAAAACGAACACTATGCACAAGCTACGTGCACTAGTAAGCACTAGCACTAGAGCTAAACAAGCTAGCAAGCAACAACACTAGTACAAGATATGAACAAGTAAATAACTAGTGTTTGGCACAAACCTATGTATAACTTATGATGATTTGTACAGACTATATTGTCTATACAATATGGATGAGACTAGATTTAAGTTGTGAAAACTTCACGATTCATCAGTGATGATAAATTGATACTTGTGATGATAAATTGATACAGGGTGCGGGTATGACATTGCACCCTTGGGTCTCATTGAGGGCGGGTGTAGCCAAGTATTGTGAGCGTCATCAAGGGCAGATTTTTTTACTCTACCTGCACCTTAATCGACCTGTTGTCATCCCTAATTCCCCTGTTGTTGGCTCCATCCAACTAGTGAAAGTGCAATCAAGATCTAATTATGGGTTTTAGTGAAAATGACCATGCAATTAGAGGACTAATGAGATTTATCAAGATGACAAGCAGGGAATTTACAATCGAACATGTTATACAAAATGGAAGATCCCCCAATTTATAAATGGTGACGACAACAAACTCAAAGGAGGTTTAAATTCTTTTATATTTTGAATGAGTATAGGAATGACGTACTATAAAGGGAGACATAATAAACTTGCTAAAGTGTGCAACCAAGTGCTCAATATTATACACACACATCCTCAGTTGCTCAGCCAAGACAACCTAACTTTCACTATTTTCATCCTTGCTATCTTGCCTGGTGCGGCAGTACCGCACCTGAAGAGAGGCACTATCGCAGTTGAGCCACGACACTGCCGTGACTTAACTGACGGTTGGGGGTTGGGGGTATTTATACCTCTCACACTCACCTCTAACGACTCTTCTTCCACCTCTAGCGATTCAGATCGACCAAAACAGAAAAGCGCTCACTCTCTCTCTTCTCCATTAGTGACCTTGAGCTCCCAAGCATTCCTTTGTGATTTCCCCATCAATCCTTGAGAGAAAAGGCTCCAAAACTCGATTAGAGAGCAGATCCACTGATTTCCAAAGCCTAAGAGCACTTGGTTCAGGTTTGAGCCCGTGGTTTGTGTTTATTACTCTTGGAGCTTGCTCCTATCCGGCTAGAGCGTCGCCCGTGGAGTTTGCCAACTTGTGTGGCAGTCCCAGTAGGTTTGTAACCATCTCTTGAAGCTAGTAAACTTACCCCTCATCTCAAGAGTTAACTCTCTTGACTTAAGATCGAGGAAGAGTTGTAAAGCCCTAAGCCTTAGTGGCTAACCTCAACAACGTGGACTTAAGCAAGCCTTGGTGGTGAGCTGAACCACGGGATAAATACTTACTTCCATTGCATTTCACTTTGTTGTTGAGGTGATTTCTGGGGTTTGAGGTCAATCTACTTGCTTACACTTGTGCTACCACTTTGTGCTGTCAATAAGTGATCTACTACCTTGCAGAAAGTTCAGTAATTTCTCTGATCTAAGTTTCCATCCTTAGATTTTGAACTATATCACGAAATTGTTTGTAGGTGCGGCAATGCCGCTATTCTAGCCCGACAGTGCCACGGACTCAGAGCGGCAGTGCCACAGGTTGAATTTGACGTTTGCTCAAGTTTTGTTTTAACAGACCTATTCACCCCCTATAGGCTAACCAGAGATCCTACAAGTGGTATCGGAGCAGGTTACCTCGTATGTGTTTCACCGCGTGAGGTATGGGGCCTGGAGGAGGATCTAGTGGTGTGAAGCCCATAGATGTCGATCCGGAGGACATGGGCTTGCACGAGTCTGACAGTAGTGAGCTCAGCGCATCTACAGCAAGCAACACCACGCTCCCATAGCTAGATGTGATCGATGCCAAGAAAGCTCAAAACGAAGAAGAAAGAGAGAAAAGAAAGGCAGCAAGAAAAGAAAAAAGAGAAGCAAGAGAAAAGAAGAAGAAGGAGCAGCAAAGGCTTGAAGACAAGAAACAAAGAAAAGAAGAAAGAAAGCTCAAGAGAGAAGCAAGAAGAAAAAGAAGAGAAGCTAGGAAGAAGAAGGAAGAAGAAGAAAAGGCAACCAATGCATCATCAAGTGACATATCAAGTAGTTCCAAAGATGGAGATGATGATGAGTCCTACCAAGTGACTAGGGGGGCAAGAAGGAGAAGAAAGGAAAGGGCAAAGCTGACTCCAACAACAAATATGCCTCTGTATCCTTTAACTATTCTTCTATGCTTATGACTAACCATGATCGAAGGTCTTTCATCAATGTGCCCGCGGACAAGTTACCTTATTTCGATAGGACTAACTATGCCAAGTGGAAGCAGTTGATGAGATCCTATCTTATAGGTCTTCACCCCGACATTTGGGAGGTTGTTTGCAATGGATTTGAGCCACCGGTTCATCCTAGGAATCCAACTCTAGACGAAATGCGAATTATTCATCTCAATGGTCAAGCCACAAGTATGTTGCTTAGTGCTTTGGATAGTGATGAGTACAATAGAGTGATGGGTTGTCTATGTTGCCAAGAAAATATGAGAGACCTTGTACCTTGCACATGAAGTGGTTGACAAAGTGAGGAAGGCAAGAATTAAGTTGTTGATGGCCAAGCTTAACCGGTTCGTGATCTTGGATGGAGAAGGGCCACAAGAGATGTTTGATAGGTTGATGGTAATTGTCGGCAAGATTAGAGTATGGTGGAAGGTTACTCACCTAGAAATGATACCATGGTGACTCTAATTAGTGACAAGAAGTTTGAGTACTTCATACCAAATGATGTACTTGGGAGGATCTTGACCTTTGACATGCAAAGAGAAGAAGCAAATGAGAGGAAGAAGCTTGGTGAGTTGCAAGCAAAGCTAGATGGCATGAAGATCAAGGATGTAGCTCTCAAAGTCAAT